TTCTGCGGCTCCTCCTCAGAAGGGTGTGGTTGAGCACATTTAAACCTGCTGTCTGCAAGTGTGCTCTGCACTTGTGTCCTGTATGTTGCCCTGTTGCAAGCTCTTGTTGTTTGTTCCCATTGCTCTCCTGGTAACCGACTCGGCTTGGACAAGACTACTCTCTGCGTTAACCCTTTATCCGACCTCCCGTTGTTGAACCCGGCCCGTGACCTGAGTATTCTTTGCCTACCGTCTAGTACTGTCTGCTCCGTTGTTATTGACCCGGCTTGTCTGACTACTCTCTACTCGTGATCCCATCTAGCTCCCACCAGCTGTACGCCATTGGCGGCAGTCGTTATCGCAGCTGGGGTCACTCGGGGGCCGCGACCTGGTCTCAGGCTGCGTCAAGTCCATCCCCACCATCAGGGGCCCTGGTGAAGGGTAGCCTGGGGCTTAGACTCCGCGCCCTGAGGGACTCTGGTCTGTGGGTAGTGGCTGTCGTCAGTCGCAGCGTGACCGTACCATAGGCCTGCCTGCCCATTCCAGCGTTCCTGCCCTGACAAATTCCCTGTGTCTATCCGACTGGAGTCTGACCCGATTGAACACCTTATAGCATCTAAAGTGATGAGCAAACCACTATCTTCCCCGTACCTCCACCTGTCTATAAACCCATGAAACTAAGTTGATCCGCACTTTTAATTTCTGGCATACAGATCTCTGAGCTTACTGAGGAGGACTGGGTGTATCCAGTTATGTCACCTTCATGATTTCTGCTAATGCCAGGTTCATACAATTGAAATTTCTCCACAGGGCATTCTACACTCCTCAAATCTTGGCTAATATCTACCCCCAGGCAAGCCTTATGTGCACGAGATGTGCCATGTTCCTGCACATGATTTGGTCTGGTCCTATTATCCACCCATACTGGGATTCGGTGGCTGCTGACACAATTAATGATGTTTGTGATCTCACTATACAAGCAGACTTGAAACTCTTATTGCTGAATCATTTGGAGGATTTGGATGTGGATAAATATACTAAGCTTTTTCTTACTTATGTCCTATTTATGCAATATGTGAAATACGTTGGAAACTGCCCACACCTCCTACTGTGCTTATGTGGCAGAAGGCTGTGGATTCAGTTTTACCCCTCAAATCACATATCAGAGTAGGAACTGTTCTAAGAAATTTGACAAGGTGTGGTCTACCTGGATAGATGCTTATGATCAGAAGACAGCAGGAGGTGAGTGAACAGTAATATTTCTTGCCCTTTTCTTCTCTCTGATTCTTCCTCTCTACACATCTTCCCTCCCCCCTCCCTCACCGTGGACCCCTCTCCTAATCCTTTACCTCCTCTCCTTCCTTCTTCCTCTGACCTCTCCCCCCATCTCTATTCCTTTCTTACTCTCCTGCCTGGTGGTATGTAGTATCAGTCTAGCTTGGACTTTGCCTGCTTTTGTTTCTTTTTTGCTAACTTGGTGTATGTATAACAATCATGTCAAGCTATATACCTAACTTGTTATACTGTATTTCATTATCCCTACTGGTCCTTTGGACTGTTGACTGCTATTGCTATGAATTGTACACAACCTCGCTATTGTGTCCTGTACTTACATTTCACTTGTACTACTGTGAACTCTGTATTGTTTGACAAACCTTAATAAACAAGTTTCTGTTAAAAAAAAAAAGATCAGATCTCCACAGATGATGCTCATAGTTAGGTACAAAGGACAACAAAGAAAATAACTTATTTTTTACCACCTAAGAGATTGCAGTATTCCATTTTAATGGGGGTTATATTGTGTGTCATGGTTAGGCCTAAAAGTGATTGGAGCTTTTTCAATCAATCTATTTCTTTGTATGACCACATAGTCCTGAAGGAATTTACCATTTACCATTATTGGTGTCCTGTGGAACAGCAAAAAGTGCCCATTGTGTGATACCTGACAAGGACCAGCATCAGGCTGCATAGTTGGTAAATTACTTGAGAAAAATATTCGTAATAAGCCTGAACTAGGGAGCTAGGGATATTGGGCTGAATATTTGCATTGAGGATTGCTATGAAGAACATACCAAGGGGCTGAAAAATTTAACTGCTTTCATTTTTTGCTCCCTCAACTGCTCATGAGTGAGACATTGGGGTTGATTTACTAAAGACTGTGTACTTTGCAAGTACAGTTGGACTAGTTTTCCTTAGTAAATCTTAATATGGTAAATCTTCACTTTCTAAAGAATAAGGAAAATAAGAAAAACAGCATTTTGCTTGTACATGATTAGATGATGGAAATCAGCAGAGCTTTACCACATTTACTAAACTAAACTTTAAATAAAAATGAGTGCAACTGCAATTGGAAAGTGTAGTCTATTTGCCGTTAGTAAACCAAGCCATATCACTCTGTATTCTCTGTATTCTAAGTCTATTCACCAAACAAACACTAAAAAAACATCTCATAGATTGAATTCTGAGCCAGAGTGAATGATCTGCATGGCTGGCTGCCTCTGCGCTAGTTTGGGAAAGAACAGCAGCTGCTTCAGGGGTAGCGCTACACAAACAAAGTGTTCTCCTTACATATTTTAGTAATCTTGAAACTGAGAAGTTCTTGAGCATGAGTTCAGCTCAAACATCGGCCGTTCATGTGTTGTCTGATCACATGTATGGTAAGGGCGTTTGGCGGGCTGTTAGCCTGCCAAGCGTCCCACAATGCACTGTGCTCTCACAGTGTATTCTGAGAGCCATGATTGGCCAAAGCAATACACCTGACCGCATGTCAGGAACAATGCTTTGGCCAATCAAAGCAGTGCTAGCTCTGCAATTGTTTAAATCTATTCGGCAAATGTCAGACCTCTCAGATTGCGGTAAGTACTTGGCGGGTGTGGACGGGTTGGCGGGTGTCTTTTTTTTAATTTTGGCGAGTCGTCGTCGTGGTGACAATGCTGGATGCCATGATTGATAATGGATTACATAGATGGAACCATTTTTTTTTTGGCTTTTTGGGCATTTTTTAAATTAACCGCTTCCATGCCACCGTATAGCAGTTTATACTGCTACACAGCGGCACCTGTGAACGCAATCACGTATATATACGTGCTTTTGCATTCCTGGGTAAGCCATGCGTGCACCCTACCCATGTCGCCATTCGCAGTCGCAAATGTCAATCAGGGTACCGCCTGGTAATTACCCACCGGTGCTTGGTGATTACTGACAATTACTGACAGGGAGGAAGACTGTTTTGTTTACAAACAGTCTTCCTACCTGTCAGATCGAACACACTGCTCAGGATGGCTGTGCACAGGAGAGCACACACCCCTGCCCCCTAGTAAAACACTCCCAGCACATAGTTAACCCTTTGATCGCCCCTTACATTAACCCCTTCCTGCCCAGTGCCATTAGTACAGTGCTTTATTTTAGCACTGATCACTGTATTGGTATCACTGGGGATATCAGTGACACCAAGTCAGTTCCCCCAAGTGTCAGAATGTCGCTGATCGCCACCATTACTAGTAGAAATAAAATCCCAGTATCTATATTGCCATTTTTAAATGCTATAACTTTCACGTAAAGCAATTAATTTACACGTATTGGGATTTTTTTTGCAAAGACATGTAGCGGAATACATTTTGGCCTAAATTTATGACAAAATTTGAATTTTAAATTTTTTTTACTGGACATATTTAATAGAAAAAAGTCCAAAATATTGTGTTTTAATCAAAATTGTTGGTCTTTTTTTTGCTTATAGCGCAAAACATAAAAAACGCACAGGTGATCAAATACCACCAAAAGAAAGCTCAATTTGTGGGAAAAAGGATGTAAATTTCATTTGGGTACAGCGTTGCATGACTGTGCGATTGTCAGTTAAAGTAATGCAGCGCCGTAATGCAAAAAATGGCCTGGTCAGGAAGGGGGGTAAACCCTCAGGTGGGCAAGTGGTTAAAGGCCTTGCCAAAAAACTGCTGTTTTTTTTTGTTCAATTAAAGGAATTTTTCATAAGTCTGGCGTCTTTATTTTTTCTAAATGTAACCCTTTAGTGAATGGGTAGGGGTACGAGTACCCCTTACTTATTCACAAGGGGGAAACAGCATCAGGGAACCTCCTTATTTATAGGGGTACCCTGATGCTAATGAGCCCCTCTGCCTGCAGACCCCCACAACTACTGGGCCAGGGTTGTGGGGAAGAGGCCCTTGTCCTCATCAACATGGGGACACCGTCCCCATGCCGAGGGCACGTGGCCTGGTAAGCCACAGGGAAAGGGGATGTTTGATCCCCCCCTTTCCTGCTCTGTCAGACCTGTACTCGGATCAAGGGTCTGATAGGGATTGTAGGGGGGACCCCACGCTTCCCCCCCCCCATTTTGTGGGGGGTGGTGTTCCTCTTAATAGTCCTACCAGGCCTAAAGGGCTTGGTATGGCTTTTAGGGGGAACCCACACACTTCTCCCGCCCCTACGTTTTGTAGGTGGGGTTCCCCTTAAAAAAAATTACTGTGGGTCCTCCTAACTATCCTACCAGAACTTAATGGTCTCTTATGCATTGGGACGGCGGGGGGGGGGTCACGCTGATCTTTTTGTTTTTAAATAAAAATGTGATTTTTAAAAAGAAAATGTCAGCCCTGCTGCAGTAGGTTCTATACATTGTACAGATGTGCAACTTTGCAGGTAGGGGACCCCCCAGGCATGATATTTAAAGGAATTTTTCTTTTTTTTTTTCACTTTAAGCAATGAAAACTTACTGTCCTTTTAAAAATGGTATTTTTTAAAATGTTTTCTCACTGATTCATGTCCCTCACGGCAGCCCCTATACCCCTTTTATGGTTAATAACTTGCATATAAGCCTTCAAAATGGGCACTTTTGAATTTTTTACAAGTTTGAGTCTCATAGATTTGCATTGAGTTTGAGTTTGCGATCGAACGTTCATTAGGTTCGACCGTTCAACCGCAAACTAAACACAGGGGTGTTTGGCCATCACTAACCTTATGTTATCTTAACCACTTCCTGTCCAGCCCATGTATATAAACGGGCCAGATGGAAGCAGTGCAGGGGCAGGTGGCTGTTTATAAATGGCTGCTTCCCCCCCAGCGATCCGGTGCCTGCTGTGTCCTCTGGACACAGTGGAACACCGATCATTCTATGGGACCTCTGTTTGATTGGTCCCGATCATGTGATCACTTATTGGCCAAGCAGTGATCACATGAAGAGTAGTAAGCAAGATGTCACTTCTGACATCAATGCTTACTACGTGTGAAATCTGTGAATGATCACAGAGATCACATGATACAAGACTATTCCTTGTACCTTATTGTACAGCCTTGTACCTTGTGACAAGCTGTGAATTACCCAATCACAGCTCACACAGTATTTCTTCAATGGCTGCAAGAATGCAGCCAGAGAGAAGGAGATAAAATGATTGCTTTTACAGCCTTTATGGGTGTAAAAGCAATCAGTGTAAGAAAAAAAAAAAAAAATCTTCATCACCCCCCCAAGTAGTACAGTGTCACTATGGTGACACAGTACTGCTAGGATGACAGAATGTAAAAAAAACAAAACATAAAGATAATAATTATAAAAAAATAAAATGAAAATGTAAACAATGTTTTAAAAAAAAATTATAATTTTTGGTTATAAACTAATTTGGGTTTTTTTTTTTTTACTAAAAAAGATAATTGAATACATTTTGGCCAATATTTATGAATGAAAGATTATTTATTTGCAAAATTTTATAAGAAAAAACACCTTTTTTCAAAATGTTTTTGACTTTTTCAATTTATAATAGCAAAAAACTTAAAAAATCCCAGTGTGGTGAATAAATACCACCAAAATAAAGTTTTATCTATCTCTCGCAAAGAAATGCTAAAAAATTCATATGGGTAAAGTGTTGCATGACCGTGCAATTGTCATTCAAAGTGCGATAGCGCTGAAGCTGAAAATTGGCCTGGACAGGACGGGGGTTAAAAGTGTCCGGACTTGAAGTGGTTAAGAAAGGTTCAGAACAGCAGGTCTTATATGCATTCATGGATTTTAAAATAGTGTTTCAATCCACCCTTAGCTACTTTGAACATAGAGAAAGCCATTGACAGTTGTTACACAATCTTACTGTGCATACCCTTTAACACTTGCCGACCGCGCATAGCCGAATGACGGCTTTCACCGCTGGAGCCGGCCAGTTTCTGAGTGGACGGTCATATGACGTCCTCCCAGAACGCGCTCTCCTGCGCGCCCCAGGGGGCGCGCACCCGGCGATCTCCGTGATCGCTGTGTCCTACGGACACACTGTATCACGAGATGTGGTGTCAAAGGCCGATCACACCGGCCCCTTTTACCACGTGATCAGCGGTGTCCAATGACACGCTGATCACAGGAAAATGCAAGTGCCGGTTCTCGGCTGCACTTTCCTCACGCTGTCAGATCGTGAGGAAAGTACTGCCGAGATAACCGGCAGTTGTCAGAGCGGGGATCGGCACCGATCATCAGGGCGCCACTGATGATCAGTGCCCTGATGATCGGTGCCCAGCAGTGAGCCCCCAAGTTCCAGACAAGTTGAAGAGTGATGCGGATCAGCTGGAGGCGAGTGCTAGGAACGCCCACTAGACCCCGCCCACCCATTCCCAGCAGTGCCCCCACCTGTGCCCAGCAGTGCCCCCACCTGTGCCCAGCAGTGCCCCCACCTGTGCCACTCTGCAGTGCCACCTACCTGTGCCCAAGCAGTGCCACCTACATGTGCCAGCAGTGCCACCCACCTGTGCCCACAACCCACCTGTGCCCACCCAGCACCACCCCACCCTGTGCCACCAGTGCCACCCACCTGTGCCCACCCACCAGTGCTGTCCACCAGTGCCACCCACCAGTGCCACCCACCAGTGCTGCCAGTCAGTGCCACCCAGTCATTGCCCAGGGTTGTGCCAGTCAGTGCCGCCAGTCAGTGCCAGAAGTGATGCCAGTCAGTGCCGTCTATCAGTACCCATCCATCAGTGTCACCTATCAGTGCCGCCTATTCAGTGCTGCATATCAGTGCCGACCTATCCGTGACCCCTAATTAGTGCTGTCTATCAGTGCCGCCTATCTGTGCCACCTCATTAGTACTGCCTATCAGTGCCCTTTAGTGGCTGCCTATCAGTTGCCCATCAGTGCCCGCCTATCAGTGCCCATCAGTGCCGCCTCATCAACGCAAATCAAGTGTAAGGAGAAAAAAATACCCTGTTTGAAAAATTTTGATAAAAAGAAACAATAAACTTTTTTTTTTTTTCAAATTTTTTGCACTTTTTTTAATTTATAGCGCAATAAGTTAAAGCGTCCAGTGGCGATTAAATACCACACAAAGAAAGCTCTATTTGTGAGAAAAAAATGATCAAAAATTTCATATATGGGTACAATGTTGCATGGAGCCGCGCCAATTGTCAATCAAAGTGCGGCAGCGCTGAAAGCTATGAAAATTGGCCTGGTAAGGAAGGGGGGGTATAAGTGCCTGGTAGGCATAAGTGTGTTAAATGACAATACACTTTGCAATTTTAATTATATTAGATCGGTCAAAAAACTATATTAGTACAACGGCCTGCCTGATGAGATGCAAATTGAATTAGCTTGTTTAGATTTCCTCCCACAACACATAGTTCGGAGTGCATTATAAGAAGATTGTGCAGATTGTACTATAAAATTGTAGTCCATATTCATTTTAGATTTGCTTAGCTACCTTCATGGTGAAGCGGACCTCCTTCATTTGATATTAAATAATCTGAATCATTTTTGTTGGTCTCTGCGTATGGGATTGGTTTGGTTAAAAATTTTTTAAAAAGAAAATTGTTTTTAAACTAAAAATTTTTAAAACCCAAATTGGGTGAGAAAAAAACCCAAAATATAGGAGGAAAACCCAGCCCCCAT